AAAAATTAGAAGAGGCAACACTTGATAACTCATTCTCTGAGGCCAATATTACCCTGATATTAAAACCAGACAAAGATATCACAGGAAAGAAAACTACACACTATTATTACCTGTGAACAGAGATGCAAAAATCCTCAAGAAAATGCTAGCAAAACAATCCAGCAATATGGAAAAAAGGACTATACACCTTGACCAGGTAGGATTTATCCCAGGAGGCAAGGTTGGCTTAATATCCCCACTTGATGTAATACACTGTAGCAGTAGTATAAAGGACAAAACCACAGCATCATTTCATTAGACAAAGAAAAGGCATTCGACAAAATTCTACAACCCTTCATTTAAAAATAACAAAAACAACACAAACACCAAACTAGGAATGGAAGAGAACTTTGTCAACCTGGTAAAGGGCATTTACAAAGAACCCACAGCTAATGTACTTACTGGTGAAAGACCAAAGGTTTTTCCTTTAAGATCAGAAAAAAGACAAGATGTCCACTCTTGCCACTTCTATTCAACATCGCACTGGAAGTTCTAGCCAGGGAAATTAGGCAAGGAAATGAAATAAAAGGTATGCAGATTGGAGAGGAAGAACTAAGACTATATTTGTGGATGACATGAACATGTACATAGAAAATCCTAAGCAATCCACACACCAAAAAACTGATTAGAACTAATAAAGTTCAGCAAGGTTACAGGATACAAGATCAATTGTATTTCTATTCATTAGTAATGAAGAAACCAAAAGCAAAATTAAGAAAATTTCATTTACAATAACATTAAATAGAATAAAATACTTAGCAATAAATTTAGTGAAAGAAATGCCAGGCTTGTACACTGAAAATTATAAAACATTGAAAGAATACCTAAATAAATGGAAAGACGTTTCATGTTCATGGATTGAAACAATACTGTTAAGATGGCAATTGTCCCCAAATTGCTCTACAGATCCAATACAATCCCTATCGGAACCCCAGCGGGCTTTTTGCTGCTTGCAGAAATTGACAAGCTGGCCTTAAAGTTCATATGGAAATCCAAGGGACCCCCAATAGGCAAACAATCTTGAAGAACAAAGTTGGAGGACTCAAACTTCCTGATTTCGAAAACCTATTAGAAAGCTATGATTATCAAGACAGCGTGGTATGTGGACATAGGGATAGCACAGAGATCAATGGAACTGAATTGAGAGCTCAGAAATAACCCTTGCAGTTAGGGTCAATTGATTTGTAACAAAGGTGCCAAGACATCTCAATAGGGGAAGGGATATTTCCTGCAACAAATGGTGCTGGACAACTGAATATCCACAAGCAAAAGAATGAAGACAGACCTGTACCTACCATCATCTACAAAAACTAACTCAAAATGAATAAAAATCTAAATGTAAGAGCTAAGACTAAAAACCCTCAGGAAAAAACAGGTATAAACCTTCATGACCTTAGATTGGGCAATAGTTTCTGATACAAGACACCTTAAAGCATAAGCAACCGAAGAAAAGAGTAGATTAATTGGACTTCATCAAAATTAAAAACTTCTGTGCTTCAAAGTGTGAAAAAGTAAAATGACAACCCATAGAATGGGAGAAAATATTTGCAAATCATATATCTGATGAGTCTAGTCTCCAGAATATATAAAGAACTCGTACAACTCAGCAATGAAAAGATAAATAACCCAATTAAAAAATGGATAAAGAATTTGGAGAGAGATTCTCCAAAAAAGAGTGACTTTTAATGGGTATGGGGTTTCTTTTTGGGGTGATAAAAATGTTCTGAAATTAGATAGTGGTGATGGTTGCACAACATCAAAAATTCTTAAAACCTCTGAATTTACTTTAAAGGTGAATTTTGTAGTATATGAATTATCTCAAAAAAACATACATAAATGAAATAATTTTGTGTGATTTCTTCTGAGACTTGAATTCTTTGGTCGATATGTTTTTGTGATACATTCATGTTAATGAATGCAGTTGTAATAACTGCAGTTAATTTATTTTCACTATAGTGTGATATTGCAGTGTATGAATGTTCCAAAATATATATATTTTTCTCTGCAAGTATCTTTGAGTTGTTTCTCATTTTCTTCCTTCTTCCCCCTATCCTTACAAACCATTCTGCTCTGAACATTCTGGTAGGAGCCAGGCTGCGAGAGCTTCTCTGGAGTATAGACTTGAGGGCTGGAATTGCTAGGTGGTAGGGCACGCACATGGTTGATTTTACTAGACATGCTTAACTCTGTCCGAAGTGTTTGTTCCTGTGCACTCTCCCACCAGCAGTTTTTGAGATTTTTTTCATTGTTCCACAACTTTGCCAAGTCTTTTTTTTGTCCGACTTTGAATTTTTGTCAGTTTGGGAGGTGTAATGATATTTCATTGTGGTTTCAATTTACATTTACCTTATTAATAAAAGGCTTTTTTTTTTTTTTTTTTGCTATTTCAGGTTCCTCTTATGATTTTATGCGTATTGAGGATTTTGTCCTTTTCCGAATGATTCATCATTCTTTACATATTCAGGATACTTACCCTTTATCAGTTATGTGTGGTGTATATATTCTCTCAGCTGTCTTTTAATCTTTTTATTTTTTTTAACTTTGTATTTTGAATTGTTTGCAACATATCCTGGGGTGCAGAGAACAATCGAATGAACCTGGTTCACCCAACACCAAGCTTCAAATACCATTCCATGGCCAGTCTTGTTTCAGCTAGCGCATGTGTTATGTGCACCCTGGGTTATTTCGAAGCAAAGTCCAGACATTTCATCCAGACATCATAACATTTCGTCTGTAAATATTTCAGTATATATTTCAAAGTGATAAGCATTCTTTTAAAAAATATTTATCAGTTTTCAAAATAATGAACTGAATTCCTTGTGTCCTCCAAAGGTTACCATAGACTATTTTTTTCCCTGTATCAAAACATACAGATTAAAATATATTTGATGAGTTTCATCCATTCCACTCATGACCATTTGTGATGTTCAAATTGCCCCATCTTTGGCCAATGGGATCTTTATTCAAACGGGCCCCTGTGTATTTTTGGCACAATCCTGATAGTCTTTGGTAGCCTCCTTCCATTCTGGTATGAAAAGATGTTCCAGGTTCATCTTTTACATTTCCTGCTCCAGACCTGGAATGGGCCATTTCTCCAAAGATTCCTGGTTCCTTTTGTGGGAATGGTATCGAGAGACCGCAATCTGGATGTGATGATTCTCATTGCTCCCGGGTTTGTCGGTTTCTAGGTCCTTTCAGGGAACAGAGATAAGAGATTTTTTCCCCTAAAGATAAAAATACATCAGGCAACTATACTTCCAGTTTGAATCCGAGCTGTAAGGTTTTTATCTGACTTGAATGATCTTATATCAGCATCTCCTTTCAACTTTGCCAGAAATCTCAGGTTTCAATAACACTGACATAATTACTCATTTGACTTATCACAAAATATGCAGAGAATGGCCTCAGTATAGCAATGCCACCAACAGGAAAAGTTTGATTGTCTTTACAGTTCTTGTCCTTGGGGTGTACCCACCCCGCCCCCAGGACGTAGAGTTAAATTACTATATTTTCATTTTACTTGGAATAGTTACTCCCTGGTGACTATACCACCACTGGAAACAAAGTTAGCTATTTTTTTTTTTATTTCAATTTTTAGAAATTACTTTTAAAAAGATTTATTTGGTCTTTTAAAATTACGTAAAATATTTACATGGTTACGAAGTCAAATTGTTAAGATACATTTAAAGAAATCTAGCTTTCTCTCCCCCATATGCCCTCTTATGGATTGTGGTTGGTCTGTTTTCTCAGGAATCTACAGGAGGAAGGAAGCAGCCATGGCAGTCAGCCTGGGGGCTGCAAATGACACTTGTGGTCTCCCTCCCTTCCAGTGTTTTCCTGGGGAGACTCCACAGGTGGAAGGTAGTAGGGCCACCTCAGGATAGGGTGTAGCCCCCAAGCCCACCGGCAGTTCCCACAAGCTCTTATAGCACACAGTGTTCTCTCAGCGATTCCCTGGGACATTTCCATCAGTGCATTGACTCAGGAACTGTAACCAGAGAAGCTGCCAAGAGCCTGGACATGTAATGTTGGGAGCGATTGGCCGGGCGTCGGGTCAGGTCAGGTCGTGTACGCATGGCCTTCTTCACCAGAGATGCGTAATGACTCATCTCATTACTGGTTCATTTTTGTTCAGACCAGAGCTTTACACAAAGATTCAGAACCCTTGAGAATCTTGGGGACAGTGTGATGATAAGAGATTTAAATTTAATCTGGATCCAGGTGGCCTCCTTCCTGTTCTAGTTTGACTGTGAGCTTGTCAAAATGGCCAAAAAAAACTTAAATCCCTGAATATTCTTGTCAAAATAGGAACAAAAAAAGGCCAGACCCATGTTTTAATACAAAATAGATGAAAATGGATTCCTTTTGTCCACGGTATGTTAATAGGCAAGGCAGGGAGAGCCCTTTCCATTGGGTTGTAACTTATTGATAACAGAGGGGTCGACTGGGGAGTTTCCCCTGGGATGGACGTCAGTATCTAGGCTCTGGGCACCACCTGCTGACACCAGGGATCTGTCCAGAAGTGGCGGGTACAGAAGAGAAGGAATCACAGCCTCTAGGGCATTTCAGTGAAACCAGCGGGATAGCAAACATGGCATAGGTCTCCTGTGGCCCTCAATCCTGCCCACTCCAGGGAAGAGATCTGAGTTGGGGTTAGAAAACAAAAACTTTCAAATATGTATGAGCAACAAATGGCTTTGCTTGTTTGGAGAGTTCTCACCAATTTTCAAAAATTAGACAATTCCCAAGGTTCATAAACAATTACAAGTGTACTTGCCCCATCTCATCACCTTTAATTGCTGGCTCTATGCCACCTAGCAAATGTCAGTATTCTCTCTCTCTCTCACACACACACACACAATCTGGGGTGCATGGCCTCCCTGAGGTGTAGGGACCATCTCAGCTGAGGCCCGTCTTCGTCAGCACTATGCTCACAGCAGGGGGAGGAACAGGGATTGGCGTCAAGGCAGGAAGACATCAACCCGAAAGCTGCTCTTGTCTGTTTTTATTGAGAGAATAGGGGAAGGGCAGGGATGGTCAGGGGGGCAGGGCTCCAGCATCTTGTCCCCAGGCAGGGGTACTCCAGCCTCAGTGCAGCCAAAGAGGGTCAGGGCCCCCTGAAAAGGAGAAGCCAAGCTTGAGTATGTCCCCTCTGCAAGAGGCTGGCTGTGGAGGGCCGCCCGCGAAGGGAGGGTGCCCACATTACCAGCAGAGCCTTCACGGCCTCCACAGCCTCTGGGCCCAGCTCGGTAACACACTTCCTGGAGCCCTCCACGAGCTGCTCTACGGAGATTCCCAGGCTGGCCAGAATGGACTTTAGGGGGTCGAACACGTTGAGAAAGGGGTTGGCCACAGCCCCAGCCCCTTCCTCCGAGGCAGGGGCAAGGGCAGCCACAGCTGGGGCTGCAGGCTTGGCTATTGAGTCCACGAAGAGAGCAGCAGCTGCAAACACAGGAAGAGAAGAATTGCCCACGTGGCCCTGGGGGCTCCCAGGAAACGCTGAGGGCCCATCTCCTCCTGGAGGTGCCCAGCACTCCCTCCCTCACTGACTGCTGCCCTGTGCTGAGTCAGGGGAGGCCTGGCCCTGGGAGGCCCAGCTGGTTGGGAGAGGTGGCCACGTAAGCAGTGAGCCATGGCCCAGCAAGGAGCCAGCTAGATAGAGGGACATAGGCGGCCTGAGGGTGGAGGGAGGAGAGGTGAGCTCTGAGTGGGGCTGGGGCAGGCTTCCCGGAGGAGGTGACACCTGGGCTGTGCCTTGAAGGATGAGGCAGAGAGCAGATGGATGTTCCCAGACCAGGGCCAGCGCTTGTGCTAGCCCGAGGCTAGAGAGCCTGGTGTTGGTGGATGAAGAAGAGAAACCCAGGCTGGGATGTGAGAGGAGGCCGAGGGCTCAGGGGGACCCCAGATGGACCCCAGAGGGCCTGGAAGGCCCCAGGAAGGAGCAGGACTTCTGCCTAGAGGGACAGGGAGCTCTAGGAAGCAGTAAGCAGAGGAGTGCCCTGGTCCCTCTGGGCGACTGGAGGGACAGCACAAGGAGCCTGATGCCCAAGATGTGGAGGCAGCAGGGTCGGGACTGGCTGGAATGGGGGCTGGGGGACGAGCAGAGCCACTACCAGGGCCCCAAGGCGAGGGGCCGGGAGCCAAGGCCCAAGAGAACTCACTGGAGTGGCTGAGCAGGGTCACGCAGAGCACCAGGAAGGTGGCCGTGAGCTTCATCGTGGAGTAGGTCTCAGTGGATGCTCCTGGGACCAGACAGGCTTCCCAGAACCTGGCTCTGAGGGCTTCATATACCCCATCCTCGCCCCTCTCCAGGGCTGGGGCATCACCCCATCCTCCTGAGAAACTCCCTATTTGCTCAGCTAATAGGCAGAGCCATGGCCAACTGCCTGCTCAGGCCAGTGGGCCCTGGAAAGCCTGTGCCCCCCTACCCCGCCTGGGTCTTGGGGACTTCGTCTTGGCACGGTCTCCTGGGCCAGAGGGCTAGGCCCTTCTGCGCAGGAATGCAGACTGTGTTTTGTCCACACAGGCCCACCCAGGCCTTCACCTTTACAGAGAGTTCTCTGGTCTGACCCCACATGGCCTTCCAGCAGGGCTGGGCCCCGGGTGAGGAAGGGCCAGGTCTGTGACCCCAGTCCTTACTCCTGCTTCCAGACCATGGAAATGTCATGCATTGGGGGTCCTCCTGGCTCCTTCCCGTCCTGGGGAAGCAGAAAGGAAACTCTGGGTAGCCCCCCAGGTGGTCAGGCCTCACCCCTGGCTACCTCCCTGGTGGGGCCACAGGCAGCTACCAATGCTGACAGAAGGACCCAGCACATTCTTCCAACTTTGAAATCAGTCTCAATGCTGGGGAGTTTCTCTAAAAGTCCTCACACATCTGTCACTTACAAAGTATGATGACGGAGAACAAGCAAAACATTTTAGCCCCATGACACAAGTTCGTCAATGGGAAGATCTGACTCTTCAGGGAGTGTCCTGGAGTACCCCACCTGGGTAACCAGTGCGTCTTGACCTTCACAGCCTAGCGGGGCTCCAGCCCACCTGAGCCCCCGTGGCCCCCTCACCTCTGCAGGTGCTTTGTGCTCTCCGGCCTGCACACTGCCTGTAGCTTGTTAAGAGCCATGATCGGTGTGTGCACATTCGCGTGATCTCCACTCGGTTCTACACTGGTCCTTGACTGTTTTGTTTGGGGGATTTTTGCATTATAGATGTATGTTTTGTTGGTCATTGTGGAAGTAATTTCAATAGGATGTCCATTTTCAACTCTTGAAAATTTACCTTCCCAGGGTTTCTGGAAGGAATGCTGCTCATGAGGCTGGGACAAGACCATCTGTTGCTGCGGATGCAGCAGGGTGGAAGGAGGCTGGTCCCGTGGCTACACCCCGAGTGCCCAGAGGCTCGTCCTCTCAAGGAGGCATTTGCCATATGGGCACTGCTCTGGCCAGCCCCACTCCTGAAAAGCCTGGGCCAGCAGGTGGGATTATCTCCCCCCACCAATCACAGTAACTCTGCCCCCACCACAAGCAGAGGGTGCTGGAGGCAAGGGGAAGACCAGAGGGGCTTCTCGGTGACCTCGTGGAGGCCTGAGGGCTACCCGAGGTGGAGGCTGGTTCTGGGCATGGGCACAACAGGGCAAGGTGGAAAAGGAAAATGTGGACACAGCTGAGAGGTTTCTTCCGGTTTCAAACCAAGGAGATTCTTTCTGTCTTTGCCTCCTTCCGCTTCCCCATATAGGCATGAGTCTCTGCGGTTTTCCCAGGCCCAGCACAGGGATGTGGTGTCCCCTGCACTGTGTCCTTTCTAGAAGCACCACCTCTGCTCGGGTGGGGACATGCGCTTGGAGGAGGAGCTGCTATGGCAGCTGAGAATTGTCAGTAGCTTCCTCAGTGTGTGTAGGGTGATGCTGGTGCCGGAATGATCTCATAGGCCCTCCTGTCCCTGTAAGACTGGGGACACGAGTCTCAAGTGAGCAGGCGTGGTTTGTCCGAGTTTGGGGTTGGGGAGAAGAGTTAGCAGTTTGCAGCGCCACCCCAACTGCTCAGGTCCAGCGCAGCCGAAGGATCCCAGACCCACTTGGGGCCTGGGTGATGGGCACGGGGACCTCTGGCCAGGGAGAGCCAAGCGGGGGGCTGAGGTCAGACTGCCGCTCACTGTGGGCACCTGAGTCACGACTCTCTTCAGTTAACATCTGGTTGTGGGAGCTGCTGATGGACGCACTCCCCCTCACCAAATGCCGCACGTGGCACTGCTGGCTTCACCCGGACCTTTTGCCGGCTGAGGGTCAGAGAGCAGCCCTGTCTGCGGAGCCTGAGCACGCTGAGCATAATCCCAGATCGAAGCCAGAACGGGGCAGAACTCGGGGTTAGTGGGTCCTTAGAGTCGATTTACTAACCAACCCATTTCACAGTCTGGGGCCCATCTCAGCAGCGTCCCCTGGAAGGAGCCATAGCCCTGTCACTGATGCAGGGGTCAGGAGGTCCTGACCCTCCCTCGCCTGTCGACTATACCCTTAGCATTAGCTGGAGTGGGTTTACAGAAGAAAGGATAGAGGGAGCAAGTTCCCGGGAGGGGAAGGAGTTCCGGGCCCCTCGCTTGCCCCTGCCTACAGCCTCCCCCAGCTGGATGGCTCCGACCAGCCAGTCCACACCCTGGATGGTCTGTGGTGGTCCCACTCAGCAGGGGCCCCACTGCTCTTCCTCTTTTGTCCAAGTGGCCGTCATTAGCCAGTGTTCTCTGCCCCAGCTCTGCTCTCTCACGGGTGCGGGGCCTGCAGTCTCGGATCTGGGCTCGTCCGGCGCGCAGACCTCGTGATTTAGGACCCAGAGTGGTCTGGGCTTGTCTTCCTCTTTCCTGTTGCTCCCTCGGGGTCCCACAGGGATGGCTGAGGCAAGAACTGCTGGGTTTTTGGCCCAAACCCACCTAACGGCACCGCTCTCGCAACATGGGCTCCCCTAGGGACAGATAACTTTTCCTAGAGCTGTATCTGACCTTCTCCGTCAAGTGCACGAGGGCTGAGGCCCAACCAGAGAAGGTGGTGGAAGCGTTGAGAATCACGGCCAGGGCACATTGAGATCTGAACCTTCGTGACCTTCCTCCCCAGAGCCAAAGCACTGCACCTGCGACCCCAGCTGGGCTCTCGTCTTTGCTTCTGGTGCCCAGTGTAAGCACTCCTCAAATATTCGTGACAACGGAGATGAGAGGGAGCAATAAAAGTATTTAACGAGGTTACATTTTAAAAATATTTTTGTAAACTTTTTTTTCTGGTGTTAAACACAAGTGCCTCATACTTTATTTGCTGGGTTTTGTCTGCTGCCACCGCTGCTACCACAAAGAAGTGGTTTGTCTTCCCAAACTCTTCGACGGAATGCTTCACCAAGGTCCTCTACGGGATGGGATCCTTACAGAGACTCTTGTCAAGTCCTCTGTCCTCTGGCTCCACTCTGTGAGGAGTCCCAGTGGCCACTCCATCCTGGGACTTCCCTTTGCCTCCTCCAGGGCTGTGTGTGTCCCATTTTATCCTCCAGTTTCCCCAGAGGGTCAAGGGCAACCTCAGTCTCCAGCCAGGGCAGGAAAGGGGGTCAACTGGCTTTGGAGTGGGGAGGGGATCCGGGGCTTCAGCTGCTCTCCTCATAGACTGTCAAGCAGCCCGTTTCCAGCTCCTGCCTGGCCTCCCGCTCTGACCCTACGGGGGGCAGGCCCTGTGCAGGCAGGTGGATTCCCCTTCCTCAGCACTGCCAATCCCTCCACTCCCAACACCCCAGAAAACGACTGTTCTTTTGTTTTCTAATAAAGTTTTTTAAAAATTATTATTGAGATGAGATTCACATAGCATAGAATTAATCTTTTCAAAGCGAACCATTCAGTGGCACAATGTTGTGCAAGCACAACCTCTATCTAGTTCCCAAAACATCTTCATCACCCTGAAGGGAAACCCCATACCCATTAAGCAGTCCCGCCCCATTCCTGCCTCCTTCCTGGCCCCCGGCAACCATCAGTCTGTGGTCTGTCTCTGTGAATGTGCTTTTTCTGGATATCTCATATACATGGAATCAGACAATATACCACCTTTCGTGTCTGGCTTCCTTCACTGAGCATCATGTTTTTGAGGTTCATCCATGCTGTAGCAAGTGTCAGTGCTTCATTTCTTTTTATGGCTGAATAATATTCTATTGTATGGATAGACTGCTATTTGTTTACCCATTTATCCATTGGGGGGCTGTTTCCACCTTTTGGCTATTGTGAATAGTGCTGCTGTGAACATGTATATACAAGGATTTATTTGAGTACTTGTTTTCACTTTGGGTATATTCCCAGGAGTGGAATTGCTGTGTCATATGGTTATTCTATGTTTAACTTATTGAGGAACCTCTGTACTGTTTTCCACAGGGGCTGTACTCTTTCATTTTCCTACCAGTAATATATGAGGGTTCCACTTTTCCACTCCTCACCAACACTTCTTATTTTCTGGGTTTTTATTAGTGTTATTATTATAGTCATCCTAGTGGGTGTGAAATGGTACCTTATTGGAGTTCTGATTTGCGTTTCCCTCACGACTGACACATTGAGCTTACCTTATCCTTATCGGCCATTTGTATATCTTCTTTGGGGTAATTTCTCTTCAAGTCCTTTGCTCATTTTTTAATTGGTTTATCTTTTTGTTGTGAGTTGTAAGAGTTCTTTATGTATTCTAAATACTAGACCCTTATCAGATACATAGTTTGCAATATTTTCTCTCATTCTGTGGGTTGTCTTTTCACTTTCTTGATAGTTTTCTTTGATGCACAAAAGTTTTTAATTTTGATGAAGTCCAATTTATCTATTTTTTCTTTTCTTGCTTGGGCGTTCAGTGTCGTATCTAAAATCCACTGCCAAATCCAAGATTTGGTTATGATGATTTACCCTTATATTTTCTTCTTAGAGTTTTATGATTTTTGCTCTTATATTTAGATCATTGATAATTTTGAATTAATTTTTGCACATGGTGTGCGGTGGGGTCCAACTTCATTCTTTTGCATGTGGGCGCCCAGTTCACTGAAGGGACCTCCACCCACCTTCTCTCTTTCAAAATGTATTGGCTTGTTTTGTCATTGTTGTTGTCTCTCCAGTTTACTTTATCCTTGTGGGTTTAAAACGTAAAACAATTAAGAACATTTTTAGTAGAAATTTGGGAGAGAGTAAAGGTGAACGCATGTGTTGAATCTACTGTGCTTAAGGGGAAA